CACATATAAACAAACAGATTATGTACCAACAGCTGTAGATCTTACAATGATCAAAATGTTAAACACATTACAGAAATGCACCCAAGAGAACAGCATTGGAAAGTGATTTAGCACTGCTCTTTCCTGCATACTAGTGTATGATGACTCACTTGGCGTAGGCTTTCTCCAGCAGGGCACTCCAAAACTCATTTCTCTCAGCAGACTTAGTGAAGACCAGCTGGTTATTGAATGTTGGGACACGGTCGTCAATGACGACGTCGACCCAGTCACCATAACGCCAGAACTGAAACACAGAGAACCTGATTATTAAAAACAGGACAAGATCATCTTTCTTTGAGGTCTAAATTCCTCTGGCAATAGAAAAAAATAATCCTTTCAATAATGGTCATGCCCATTTAATTATTAGAATTAGTATTAATAGTGCCTTGCAAAAGTATTTTATTGTCAATAAAAATATTGTATCATATATTCTATTGTCTAAGGGTGATGCTAAGAAACTAGTCCAATGTAGGCTACTAGTTGTAATTCTTTACTATCAAGAAGTCCACAAACTCTAGTTAGAATACTTAAGCTGATCCAAAATGCTGCAGCCAAAATGCTCTGATGAAAGTTATTTAAGCTTCCCTTCATTGGCATCCTGTTAAATCCAGAATAGAATTAAAATCCTTCTTCTCATGTATATAAAGCCCTAAATAACCAAGCTCCGTGTTATTTTTAGAAAACTGACCATTCGTTATGTTACTAAAAGGGCACTTTGCTCTTAATCTGCAAGTTTACTAGTGGTTCCTAGAATTTTTAAAAGTAAAATGGGAGGCAGAACTTTCAGTCATCAAAATCCTCTCCTGTTGAACCAACTACCAGTTTTAGTCAGTGAGGCAGACACCCTGTCGACTTTTAAGGCTAGGCTTTAAAATTTCCTTTTTGGCTCAGGTTTTCCTGAGCTATCTCTAAAGTTATGCTGCTATAGGCTTAGACTGCTGGAGGACATAGGGAGCTTTTCCTATTTTGCTTTATTCTCAAATGTTGCTGTGTTTGTCTACTGTATGTGCTCTCTTTCAACCCTTTGGAATTAAAACTGGCTCAAAGCTTCTATGTTTAACTGTTCCTTTCCTTGACCAAGGCAAGAGAAACCTATGGTAATAGTAAAGCCTTACCTTTTCTAACATAGAAAGTATTTATAGATTAGTGCTTCAATGTTCCTGTTGTATGTCTGCTTCTATCTAGAAGGACTAGAAGGGCATGGCCACTGAGCCTGGTTCAACTGGAGGTTTCTTCTTTATAAAAAGGAAGTTTTTCCCCTCCACTGTCACTGCAAGCATGACAAGTGGGAGGGAATGGTGTAGAATTGATAACACATTGCAAGCAAATGTCTACTGTTGCTACGTGCTCATCCATGAGAAGAGAATCCTGCAAAGTCAATGACTGAATGCAGGCTGTTTCTTAGATAAAAAACTTTGAACCAATCTGACTGTATGGTCGGTTGAATTGTCTCTGTAAAGTGCCTTGAAATGAAATGTGTTGTGAATTGGTGCTATAAAAATAAACTGACTTGAACTGAGTACTGGAGATTGCATGTGACAGACGGTCAAATTGGAAAACAATTGTGGAGTCAACCCTTTCTAAAAGCATATTTTGCTGTAACTACAGACAAAATAAGGCTTTTGAATTATTTATCTCAATAAATAAGCTAAAAGTGACTCAAATTAGTTTGGGAATCATTTTTAGTTCTGGATTTTTTTAAAAGCTATTTAGGCAACCTATCTTTTAGCCACTATTACATGAATACCAGATTAATGGCCAGCCTTCTATAACAAACATCTGAAGGTTTAGCAAAACTGTTGAGTTTATATACAGTATTTATATTTAGAATCAAATTAAATCATAAAGAGTTGGGCTCAATTTATAGCTGAATCACTGAATACAACTGTTGTTCCATCGTTTATTCAAAGGTGTCAAAGTAAAGAGGGCTGAAATGAAACACATGACACACAGATATTTTTCCCACTTCACAATCACTTATGTCATGCTGCTGTTCTGATGTGGCAGAAGGTCAAAATGTTCTAGCAAGATTTTTTTTCCAGGCACTGATGAAATATTGTCCACTTAATAAAGATTTAATCCCTTTTTACATGTTTAGTATACAGATATCATGAGCAAATGTCCATAAACAATGTTTTGAAAACCTGATGAGTCTTAAGTGAACGATTAGAGCTAGAATAGCAGATATGGAAATGACATGGGATCTCACCTGGAAATGGAAGATGCCAGCATAGTTCTCAGAGAAGCTTTGCTCCTGAGGAATCACTCTGTAGAGGAGTTTCTCATTCAAGGTGAGACAAGCAATAGCAGCTAACAACCAGCAATCACCTAAACAGAGAAGACTGCAATAAATTATTTCAAGATTTTTTTTCTTCCCTTTTAAAGGGGTATTCTGCCCATGAATATATTTAGCCCAGAGTGAACCCTACTCGTTGGGCTTACAATAAATGACACATTTCCTCCTGAAGTTGGGAAAGCCAGCTGCTGCTCACTATTTTTTGTAACTCTCCAGATGTGTAAAAGGGCGTTGCACGAGGATAATGTGTACATTTTTGTTGTTTTTTTTCTTTTAAAGGGTATAGTTAACAGTGTCTGCCAGGACTTTTGTTCTCTCTGGTCCCCCTTTATTTGCAGCATGAACAAAATTACAATGGAAAGTGCTGCCAGTAGGATTCCCTTCCAAAAGAGTAAGCACAAAACAGGGAGACTGCTGCTGGCAGAGAGGCCGTATTCAGGGGATTCATGCCATGGAAAATAATCAGCTATTTTAAAATTTTCTTTTAAGAGAATAAAGATGAACCACTGCAATAACATTTGCTGATTATTTTCTTTTATTTAATTTGGTTTCAGCCAAACTTAGCACAGTCAGTAACCATGAAAAAACCTTCATGCTTTAAGCAGGGATTAATTACTCAGAAAGGAAAAGTTTTTCTTCTTCAGAGAAAAACAATGATTAGTATATTTTTTTTACTGTCCTTCAGCCAGGCTAAATGGTCCTTTAAGAGAAACATATTATTAAAAAAAAAAAAATGCTTTTCAAAATAAAAGTTTTTGGACTGGGACTTTTTTTTGTTTGTCTATTAGAGTATTTTGTAAAGGTGCAATGGAAACGCCTTTTTCCGCCTTGCAAGAGATACAGGATCAAAAATCATATATTATTACTGACAAAAAAAGAAAACAAATAATTTATGGTGCAGCTGGTTTGTTTTTTTTACGTGTTATTGTATGTACAACTTATCCCCATATAATTTTAGTTGCATTTTCTCATTTAATAGAAAGACATCAAATTGCAAAATTGTGTTTTTCAACATTAGCAGCATATCCGTAAAGTTTGGCAGACAATCATTTAATAAAATGCTACAACGTGATTGGATTTTAGTAATACTTTATTAACAAAAAAAATTATTATGGATCACAGTTTATTATTATTATTTCATATATAAACAATTTATTCTTAATTACTTCTAAAATTTGTACTGCTTTCCTCTGATATGTAAGCATAGCAAACTTTGAGTTATTTTCACAGCAACAAATTCCACACCAGAGTGTGTAGTCAGATAATAAAATAAGTTAAGTTAATAATAAGTAAAGTTTATTATTGTTTGAAAAAAAGATTGCATTTTTTCTTTAAATCAGCCAGCCAACATAATCAGTGGATTCACTGTGTTTCTTTGCATATTTAAATTTTAAGTCTCTAAGGCATTTAAAAAAGAGAATATTCTAAGAATGAGAGGTGATGCTGTAATGCTTAAAGTTTGAAGGGAAAACGTTTACCTAGCTCTCCCTGACAGATGTCTGTCCTACTCGCTCCTCCGACAATGAACTGAGGGTTTTCACATATTTCCTGTGGAAAAAAACAAAAAGAAGTTAACTTTCACTGAAAAAAGAGACTACAAAGATAAATTATACTACCATTATATTAAAAAAATCAAAAACAGGTATAAAGTTTAATCTGTTACTTCTGAAGTTGGACAAATTTTAAAGTTATTTTCCATGTTTGCTGTTGTGTATAAAAGGTAAAATGCAGTTTTACCTCCATCCTCACCCATCCCCTCTAACTTTATGCTTTGTGAGTCTGTATTTCCACCTGCCAACAGACCTACCTTGGGCCTTTTCCAGACGATGTTCTTGACTTTGTTAGACTTGTGCCCAAGCTCTTTGAAGCCCAGAGACTCCACTGTGGCGGGGAAAGCATCATCCTCAAACAGAGATTTCCTCTGAAGGTACTCCTGCCTCAGCGTGTTGTAGTCCTGGCCGTTAAAGCGGATGGGCTTGTTCAAGGACCCTTCCCCGTCCCTCCTTTCTCGTTCCCGGATCAACCGGTCACAGAAAAAGCCAGATGGCGTGTATGGCATCTCCACTCAGCAGACCTTTATTTTTTGTGGGGGGGCGGAAACTGACCTTGACCACCTGTAGGAAAGTCTTACCAGCCAAAAGACCCTGGCATAAATCCAAACAGCTAATATCTGATTGGTTCTTTCTTTCTGTGACGTCCCCTCTTCCCTTTCGTCACAGAACAGATTCAAACGCTCTGTGGAAGAAACATTCTCCTTTGGGTTGCCATTCATGTCGACAAACAAACACAGAAACCAGCAAATCACATGAAAGTCTGCTTGTTGCATTCCTATTGGCCGACCCAAACAATGACCGTCCCCTGCCCGTGCTCTGGTGCCATCATTGTTGGTTGACACAAAGGCCAGGGGGCATGTTAAGAGTGGTTGGTAGATGCCCTGCCTCAGCAGAAGGCATTCAAAACCTTTAAACCTCTTCTCAATGGAGCTCAGCGTCGAGCAGTCTCAGCACAACCAGAGCTAATGCTATGAACGGGGGAGTAACACATGTTTTACTCTCTTTACAGTTTTGTCATTATAGCTGATGAGATACTGCATGCTTACATTTAGTCAGAGAAATGCAGGCAAAAAACGAATCAAGTCGTCATGCTAAATCAGAGAGTTGGTTTTATTTTGTATTTCACAACAGAAGGAAGTGACATGAAGGCAGCTTTGAAATTTATATCAGACATGTTTTGACTGAAGATCCGTTTTACTCTGAAATCACGGAGTCATTTATGAAAAAGCACTGATAAAGCTCAAATTTTTTTTTGTCAAATTTTCTCATTATATGGTGTGAACCGCCCTGATGAAACTTTCATTCTCCTTGAACTGGCTCCCAGTTTGTCATCCTGTATCAAAACCAAATATATCAATTTAGGGGGTTGGTAAGACAGACCAAGGCAACAAGAGCTGTAAACCATAGATGAAGATGATACAAGGTTTAAAAGATGGCACAAATCAAATCTGACAGGTGTGGAAGGCTTTTGAGTTCAGTTTGTCCATCCAGTAAAAAACCTCCCAAATGAAGTCAGAAATCTGCCAAAAATGAACACTATACCAACAGTTTTATTTAAAACACAAGCAGGTAAACTACTCTCCATGTGGATTTGAAACATTTAATGCATGCAGATACAATACCATGAGGCCACCAGTATATCACAAACATGAGTTCATGATCCCTCTTTGCTCTCGCCTGCTTTTTATTCGCCTATACAGTAGATTCCCTTCTCCCAGGGTGTCGACCTGTTTCAGTCGCTCATGTCAACTCTTGTCAATTTAAGGATGGAGGAACCAACTGAGAAATTAAACTGCCTGTGATTGGCTTTTTTCCAGGAAATCTCGCTTTTACTGTTTTTACAGTTGTGGCTAGTAATGTTAGCAAAGCAACTTCAGGTTAATCAATGTTGTCTTTAAGAGCAGAATTTTGATTTCATACCCAACAGCCATCTGTGTCATCACCTGACAAGTTTCTAAACATAATGATGGAAACAACAGAAAAAATCCTTAAGGTAGCTGCAAACTAACTAGAAATGTAAATGCTGCTGTGAAGAGTATAAACAAAAGGTAATTCAAGCTTCCCTTTACTCAATATAAACTTATACATAATTAAGCTTATACATAATTCCTAATTTAACATTTAGAGCATATTGCTACTGCTGTCCAAACATATTTAGGACTGTTTTCGGATTTAAAGATGACTTCAATAAACCAATTTGCTCTCGGAGAGAAATGGGATTAGCCTGGCGATGCTTTGCAAACGTGATTAGCCCCAACCAGGAAAAGACAGAACCGTTTAAGAGGCGGAATTTTCTAAAGAGTAGCCAATCACAGGTAGTTTCTCCGGTTTGCTCCACCCTCTAAATGACAAAAGTTGACAGGAGAGAATCTACAGTTATAAAAAGCAAGAGGAGAATAACCTCATGGTTGTGATGTATTGGATGACATTCAAAATGCACATGGAGAGTAGTTAACGTGTGTTTTTGAAATAAAACTACTTGCATAAGTATCTATAATGCGTGCCCCTTTTTGGCAGAAATCTGACTTCATACCCCCACATACTTTAGGATAAGGTCAGTGAAAACCACCATCATTTGGAAAATCCATTTGTCTCTCATAATACCCCAATACATTTTATTCATCTATTAAAATTGTAACTGAAAACATTGCAACAAAAAATTAAGAGAAATTAACACTTTTACAAGAAACTGCAGATTTAGCTGCTGATCTTCAAAAAAGAGAGTATACATAAAAAAACAAAAGTTAAAATAATTACAGCAATGAAATATTGCCCGACTTTAATGGGTTTCTGTCTTTCAATTATTGCCCCTTTTAAATTATCAAATTAGCCACCATTTTTGTACTGATTTTGTCATTACAGGAATACGAAATCAAGACCAAAGGAAAACCAGTCATGGATTTATCAATGATTAACTGATGTGGATCTCCCAGTCCACCCCCACTTTGAGGTTCAGGTTGCTGAGCCGCAGCATGCAGCCGGCCTCCAGGAACTCAAAGGAAGCAGAGACGGCTTCAGCGCCTGTTGAGAAAACCAAAATGGGTTCAGTTTTGGACTGAGAAACAACTATGGAAGTTACAAAATTTACAATTTGTTTTATTAATGGTAGGAACGTCAGAACCGCTGCAGCGTAATTAGGCTACTGACGATACTTTAATAGTTGTGGCAAAATGGCAATGCACACTGCACCTGACTCTGTTGGTGGCGTCTTACTTTTAAAAGAGAATTTTCATCTTTACTTTCACTACATCAATCAGTCTCAATAGCTGTTTCTCCACCCAAAATATCATGTGAATTTTCAGTACACTTTGGAATATTGTTAAAAAAAAAACAAGCTAGATAGATTGCAAGCATACCGCCACCTACTTCTCAAGTGTGTGTAGCTCTGCATGTTCCACCTACTATACTCTGTTTTCCTAATCTAGTACTATTTAAAATATTTAATTTCCTCCCTATCTATTCCGAATGTTCCTTTTAAACTCTTTGTTTCCCTAATAACATCCCTCATCCTCTTTCTTTTAGCTGCATGAATGTATCATTTTTCAAAGCATTATCCACATTTTCTCTTTCATCAAAACTTTCAAATATGTTATGATTACTTTTCTCTAGTATAAATAAAAACCTAATTTAATTAGGTTTGATCTACTTATCTTAGCAAAATAACATCTGCTTCTTTCTCCATATTTTTATTATTATTACATATTCTTGAAGTCTATAGTTTTCCTCCTGGTGAAAACAGCTTATCAGTCATGTAAGGGAAAATACTGTCAGACTGTTTGCCACCCTAGTAGTAAACAGTCTGACAGTATGTTAGAGTGACCTAACCTGTCTATTAATGCTAGTTTTATCTCTGTACTTTGGAAATAATGTGTTTCACATATTTCATTCACATTGTTTATTCAGTAACCTAATAGGTTTGTGTTTTCTTATATCCTTTAAATGTCTAAGAAAAATGTGTAAGAAAAAGATTTTTGTTCATTTGGTCAGTATTTAATACAGCTGGCACAATAAATTAATAAAATATATATATTTTTTTAATTCAGCAAAATAGATATTGATGTTAATGGAAAGATCCTTTTGATACAAGAGATTTTTTTTAGATAGCCACTTTTCAAGTAATCATTAGTCGATCAATAAAAATAAACTTTATTTTAAATCCTAAATCAATATCTTACGTCTCAGTTTGCTACATCAGAGCTTATTTGACATACCGGTATGTGTTTGTTCCCTTTTTCGAAAAAAATCAACAAACACTTCAAGCGTGAGTAAAAAAAAATTTATGCAACATTTGAATGATTCATATGCTTCTGTTTTCATCAAGCTCTTCCCATGCAGTACTTTAAAATAAGCATAGCAACTGTTAATGGAACCACATCTGATTAATGCTGATGCTCAGTCGCTTAGTCAGCAGAAATACTAAGTTATGTGGTTTCAGATTTCTACACAGTTCTTAATTCAGGCTCAGATAATGTGCTTTATAAACTAAGCAAACAATCAAATCAACCCTGAATTGAAATTGTTTTTTTTTTTTAAAGTGATTTTTTTTAAATACTTTTCTACAAATCCAGACAGTTTTCAGACTTTTAAAGACTATAAAGAAATCCGAATTCCCAGACCGGGTCTCTAAAAAGCTTGTAACACCTGTTTGGCCTTCAGTTTGGGATTTTCTGTCAGCCTTACATCCAAAAAGATATATTTTGCATGGCTTCCTATGCAAATTATTTTGTTTTTTGTATTTTACAACAAATTCTCCAATAATGATCACAGAGAAGGAGAGGCCTTTTTGTGTTATCTCTGTTTGTTATTAAATCTGCAAGAACACACACATCTGAGGGCAAGCAGAAGAGCTGCTCTTTTTAAAATCATTATATGTTTTACTTTATTGCTCATTCCATTCTGACTTATTAAACAAAAACTTTTTGTTCCGTCAAAATCTCTTATGTCATTTTTTACAAGCTAAAAGACATTGATTGTCGATTGGGGACCTGTCTAAGACATTGCGATTGAAAAAAAAAATGTCTGCTCTTCCCACCTGACATGTGGACTTTCACTTTGGATGGCTTGTTCTTCAGCCCCATGATGTTAACTGACTGTACAACAGTTTCACAGTCGAATTGTCCTTCTTCATTGGCTGGACTGGAAGATGAAACACAGAACATCAAACCACTCTGTATCAAGTCAGCAGCAGAAGCCTTTCAGCCATTTTCATGCTTCTTTAGGTTTCTGCAGACATGTTCTTAAATATGAATCTGCCCCATAAGGGTGTGGGAGTGACTCACCGACAGAGCAGACGGCCTGACAGCATGCTGAACCTTCGCAGGCAGAAGGCCTTTTGGTCACGGTATTTAAAGGAGTGGCCGTCATCGAGGTACAATTCCCCATCAGCGCTGCCCTGAACAAGTGATGCAGATACAAAAGTCCCATGTTAAAGATTTAGCGCAAAAAAAGGTGGCATAAGTAAATCAATACAACAATCCCAAAATTAATATTTATACATGGAAAAAAAATGTCCTGACATGATGGAATATGGCAAAAATAAACGGATTTGAAGCGAGTTGCCTTTCAAAACATATACAGTACTCCATCTTCCTTCTACTGATCATCCATTGCTGTCGTCCATACATGTAGACCTTCTCCAGGCTTTCTTTGACCAGTACCCTTCTCTTGTTAACTATAACTATGTCATCCTAAAGCATCATAATCAATAGAGACCCCTGCCTGAACAGTATTAGTAACACATTTCCTTAAGTATCACCTCATTTATATACAAAAAGCAACCATACAGTAAAGAGAAAGTGCAGGTTTTCTTTAAAATGTTATAGGCAGTAAGAAACTCCTGATGTAATAGTGTTATTGAAATATATTGGTCTGTATTTGAATATATTGGTCTGCATAAAAAAATCCCAGATATTAGCAAGCTAGAAACACTCTGCTGCTGTTTAAAGTAAACTTTCCCCAATGGTTATAAATAAATGGATCAAGTGTTCTGCTCCCTATTATTGTTACCTTTGTTCTGTTTAAGTGATATAACTTGATTGAGCCTTTTCTAATATTCACCATTAATAAAAAACTCATAAAAGCGTATAATTGCTCCTAACATCATATCAGGTCAATATCAGTATCAAACCATGCTCAAAGATACACTATCGGAGAGCTTATACAAACTAAAATAGAATCGATTACTTGTGTATGATCCGGTTCTATTTCATCCCTACTGACAGCCAGAGGGTGGTGCTGAAAGTACTGAATCTTCTGTTTGCAAATGCACAGTTTTAATATTTATACCAACAGAATCACACTTGTGACACACTGGATGACCACTCAGAGGCTATATGCATCCAGGGCTGTGTATCTCCTTTCGCTTCCCGTTCTGTTTGTCTTGTATGACAGCAGTTTTCTTGCCCCCTCTCCCAGCGTAACTGACAGTGCAGCTGACGGCTTTCTGAATTTGCCCCATACAGTAGTTACTGTTTTTTGGACACTTCTCACTTGCCTGTAAGAATATAATTGGTGATGGCATTATTCGCTTCCTGTCTCCCATTTCAACCTATTTTGTATTGAAATCTGAATTTGGTTGAGCCCTGCAGTCCCTTTTGGACATGGATGGCTCCCATTGCTGTACGGATTGTGAAGTTGCACTTCAGGCAAATGATGACCACAGCCTGTGCCCTTCCTGCCTTGGCTGTGATCATCTTGTGGAATCACTGTCTGAAAATCCCTGCATAAACTGCAGCTTCATGCCCCATGCAGTGATGGTTGCTCGGTTGGCCCAGCTGTGCCCTCATGAGGACTCAGACTTCCAGCCTTCTGGGCAGGTGAGCCTGCTCAAGAGTTCAAATCACTGTGGTGAGACCACCGTCTCTGTGCCCCCCTCTAAGGAGGAAGTGAGCCAAGTCTGAGCAGGGCCTGGCTACAAGGGTCATGAAATTGTCTACAGAGGTGAGTGAGATGAAGATAACAAAATCTCCAACAATGATCACAGAGAATGAGAGGCCTTTTTGTGTTATCTCCATTTGTTATTTAATCTGCAGGTTAAGAACACACACATCTGAGGGAAAGCAGAAGAGCTGCTCTTTTTATAATCAGTATATATTTTACTTTATTGCTAATTTCTTCTGATTAATAGAAAAAAATATTTTTTTTTTCCATCAAACTCTCTGATGTCATCTTTTACAAGCTAAAAACGCTTTGATTGTCATTTGGAGACCTGTCCAAGACATTGTGGTTAAAAAAAAAAATTATGCTAGCTCAAACATTGGCTGGAAACAGGAAGACAGTTTACGTTGGTTAGCTTGGAAACAAGTCACAACTCAAGATGCGAGATTTCGTGAAAAAGTAGCCAATCACAGGCTGGGTTGCCCTCCTCCTAAACAATGTATCTCCCACTGGATGTGCACGTCATCAACCATGCCTACGGTGCAGGACGCTCCTCGCTGCCGGTCAGTGGGAATGCCCACTCTACCAGAAGCGTCTCTGTTGAGGTTTTGCTGGAGGCAATATGCGCCTCTTACACCATTTTTACCGCATTATATTTCCATCGAAAAAAAACACTAAATAAAATATTGTTACAACTAATCATGGATCCCTTTAAAGGAGCACTATGTAACTTTTAGCCTCTAGGGGCGCTAGACCTTTCAGGTTTAGCTCCACTAAAAGCAAATGGCAACACTGTGCTGTCACAAAAATTAAACAGCCTTTCTGTGTGTTTAAAAATCTGACAGCACACAACTTTGGACCAGCATATTGAGAAGTAATTAATTTTAGAGACAGGACCACATTCACCCCTTAAGATTAAATTCCACATCAGAGAACCAAAATGTCTGCTGAGGTGAATGTTTTATTTGTTTTTTGGCCAACAACAAGGTTTAACTTAGTTACCTTAGACATCTTTTAAGCGACATCACTCACATGAGCCATTTAATGACAAAGCCAACCCTCTCAAGTCAATCCAATACTCAATTTTATGATCGATTTTCCACAATCAATATCAGACTAATTCAGCTTATAAATTCCCAATTAGTGTTCAGGTTTACTAACATTTGATGTTTGTGGGAAAATCCGTTTTAGATTTGGCTGTAAAACCTGTTACAAACGGTCTTAGATTCCCATTGTCACCTGGGAGTTTAGGGCCACAGTGACATCCAGGGGCAGCTTTTGGTAATCGGCTGTACACGTGCCGCTTCCTGCTGATCTGCAGACCACCGAGCCGCCACGCTGAAACACAGGAACCTGCCCAAAGAGAACACCAGTGTCACTGCATTCAATCGGAAAAAAGATTTGGACTGTTAGTTTAGTTACTTATTAAGTAAAGAGCTATTATTAATCAGTGGGTGCTACAAGATCAACTAACAGAGTCCAGGTTGACTGGGAGACTGAAACTCTTTCCTCCTTTGTACACCTTTGCAGAGCGGATATCGTACCAAATCTAAGAAAAAGAGAAATCTTTAGTTTCACAACAAAGATATTTTATATTCATAAATAAAAATACCTATAGATGTTAAAAATATAAACACCTGCTGAATGATTTTACCTCAGCTGATCCAGGAAGAAATACTTTGATGGTCTTAGCACCTGGTTCCATCACAGGACAGGCTAGCAAAGCTCCCCCTTTAGGAGAGAAAAAAAAATAATAATGACTTTAGAAAAAGAAAGGTACAACATTTACAGGCAAAATAGTGAAATTAAATCAAAAACAGTTTCCTAACCAATCATGTAATTATTGTCCTCGGTGAAGATGCCCTCCTCTTTCGGGAACTCCACCCAAAGAGGTCTATGGAAAAACATAGACATTTTTAAACTTCTTCTGCCATTGACACAAATATCAAACCAATTCCCAGGTAAGTTGTACTTGAACAACAGTAATGCTATGCAGAGCTCGCAGTGAGTGAACTGCAGGTGGCAGCAACACTAACCTGACTGGAGGCAGGCCAGAGGTGTGAGCATAGTGGAAGAGAGTGTACCAGTATGGCAACAAACAGTAGCTGGAAGCAGACGAGGAAGGTAAGTTCAGATTATGATTTTATCACAACTTTATGAAATGTCTTATTAAAATAATAATATGTATTATTTAAAATTCCTTTCAAATATTAGCCCATAAACCATGGTAATGATTGTAGACATTGGGAACCAATGTCCCCACTCTCCAGGTACCCCGGCTTCCTCCCACAGTCCAAAAACATGACTGTTAGGTTAATTGACATCTCTAGGGTGTACCCTGCCACTCACCCATACACTGCCAGAGATATGCACCCCTGCAACCCTAATAAGAACTGAGCGGGAGAAGATGGATGGATGGATGGATGGATGGATGGATGGATGGATGGATGGAACCATTGTCCCTAGCTTATATTAACCATGTTCATTGGAGTAGGGGAGGCCATTTTGCTCTGCAGTAAGCTCTCAATCACCAATCTCTAACTGCTCCAAAGTCCCCTCCCCCAAGACAGTATCACAAAACACACCTACAGGGGGAAGTGCCCCTGCCCCAAGGTGCCTTGGGGACAATGCAACTGTCTCATGTCTGCTTCTTTCTCTTTGGGGCCTAATCTATTTGGCGACTCTAAATACAATTAATAAAATTTAAATACAATTTAAATTCTACAATGGATCTTTCTCTCATACCGCTGTTGGATGGCAGTGCGGATTGCTGCAGTGACTTCCTCCCCGAAAAGCCAGGGTTCACGTCGCTTTGTGTCATTTGCAGAGTGGCCTCGGAAGAATGGCTGCAGGGCGGCGACCTGGTACCAGCGCACCAACAGCTCTGGATCCGGGTCTTTCACAAACCCACCAACGTCGGCTATGGCACAAAAGACAGAGAACATCAGTGCTGAATAGGAGTTTATAATCAAGAAAAAGACAACATTTCTTGCTCAGTTTGCCAGAAAACAATAAAAAAGCAAGAAAGTGATTATTTTCACTGATACTGTAGGTTTACCTCCACAAAATGCAATGCCGGCAAGGTTCAGGTTCAGAACCATTGGAACTGAAATCTTCAGATACTCCCAGGTGGCTATGTTGTCACCTGTCCACACCGCTCCTGCATCCCACATTAAAAAAAAGTAAAGTCCTGGATTTACCCAAGAAACGCAAAGGGAAACTTAAAAAGTATGAGTCCCTCACCAAGCCTCTGAGATCCTGCGAAGAAGGAGCGTGAAAGGACAAATGGCCTCTCTGAGCCTCCGGAGCGAGATATCAGGCCTTCGGCTGTGGCCATGTGCTGCAAGATGACCAATGGCGACATGCTTTAACTTATTTGGTAAATCCCGGTGGGTGGGAATTGTTACTTAAGAGATGCTGACCTGGTAAAAGCCGTACAGATTGTGTAAATCCCGGTGCTCCCAGCCGCCATGGTGCACCGCATCCTTTGGCATTGTCACTTCCGGCCCGTTGAAAACGGACGGCTCGTTCATGTCATTCCATATGAACAGCGAAGCAGTCGATCCCTTTATTAGGTGTAAACAGTTTAATTATTGGTATTCTTCCAGGGAGTGTTAGCTGTCTTTGACAGACCATGTCCAATGCACTGGAAAACTCATCTTTTGGACAGGCTGATAATATGTCTTTAATAATCTCTGTCCAATCTCTATAGACCTTCAGAAATCTATTCAAGGTTTTCAACTGAGACCAAAACTTAAGTGTTTTTGTTTTGTTAAGTTCTGTTATCCCTGTCTTTGCTGATTTGTCCTGATTCTGTATTTTAGATCACCCACACCTTTCATCTGAGGGGAGAATTGACAGACGGATTGATGCAACCAATACAGTAAGGAGGATGTTAGTCCCTGTAACGTTAAGGAAAAAGGGTGTGCAACCCTCACAATCAAAAGAACCCTCCTTTCCTCAGTGTGGCTGAATCAAATTTACTTACAGCTACAAATTTTATACAAAATTCTAGATAAAACTAATAATTTTTGATAAATCTAAGAAAGAAAATTTGTCTTTAATTTTTAAGGGACCCATTTTGATTTTTTGCTTTAGGCTTCAATTTGCAAAAAGAGCATAAGATGTTGTTCTGTGCAATGCTGATGTTTGTGGAAATAGATAGAATGTCTTAATGTTTCATCAGTGTGTGAGTGTGTGTGTGAATGGGTGAATGAATGTAGTGTAAAGCGCTTTGGTCAAGTCTCCTAACTTGAATAAAGGCGCTATATAAGTACATGCCATTTACCATTTACCATTTTAGTATTCCTGAGCGTCACCTTGTATTTATTGAAGCTGAAGCACCTGGAGTACCACGCTCGGGTTGCAGGATTGCTGAAATCGAGATATGAGGACTCGCCTGTAAGAACAGTAAACATAATCTGCAGTTAGAAGGAAAAGATACTTTTTCTCAGATGTTTCCAATCGAAATCTAGGAAGACACATGTCACCTGGCCAGCATGTGCCCCGATAGATCTGTCCCTCTCTGTCCTTCACAAAATGTCCTCCATCTCTGGCCTCACGATAGAGGGACCAATCAGGATCGACCTTGATATGTGGATCACTTATGGCGACCATCTAATAGAAAAAAAAAAAAACTTTTAAAACAGGAGGAAAAATCAGATTTTTATTATTGAGTTCAGTTAAAGAAACTAACCCTCCGCTTCTTTTTCTCCAGATGGTTCAGCAAACCCACTGGTTTGGGAAAAAGAGCAGGGTCCCAGGTGAAGTAACGCTTCCCATCCGTGTGCTCAATGTCCAGCCAGATGACATCATACGGGATCTTGTGGCGATCGAATCCAGCATCCACAGCCTTCACGTCAACCTCGTCAATGTAGTTCCAGCGGCACTGGTGGTAACCGAGGGAAAACAGTGGCGGCATGGCTTGATACCCTAAAGGTGAAAATAATAAAAAGCGATCTGTTTATCGGGCCTTGTTGATTAATCCACAGCATCCAGCACATTCCCTACACACCTGTAAGCTGAGCGTACTGTTTGAAGAGCTGTTGGGGTCTGGGCCCGAGCAGAACCATGCAGTCGATCACGCCGCTCTCTGAGAGCCAGTGAACATCAGTCTGAGGCCGCAGCCGCCTCCTCTTCACTGGGGGTGTTTGATCATCCTGTGTGATGCAGCAGATTTGACATTGGAACAAGTGTTCTGAAACATGTATTGCATTGTTCAACACTGGTCAATTCATTTTGCTGCCAAATTACCCCATTTTAATCAGGAAGCAATCCTGCAGCAAGATGCTGCCACCAAAATGTTTAATGCTAGGGTGGAGAGCTGATAGTGATATGAAGCATTTTTTAACCATCCACTTAAAGCATGTTCATGCTGAAAGTGAATGTGTCTAATGGATACAGTTGTTTCCATCTTGCCTCTATGTAATTGCACTTTCTGGAGTGACTAAATGGTGATGTGAAGGACACATTTTTTATTTGGCAATCAGAGCGAGGCGACACTGTGACAATACACACTGTAAAATGCAAAAAAAACTATGATTGGCTGCCTTTCAGGAAATCCTGCCTCTTCAGATATTAAGTTTTTCTTCCTAAATAAAAATGTGTTTTTCATAACAAGATAATTTTTCAAGAATAGCTAAAAAGGTTTCGATTTTCTGAATTAAGAAGATATGTTTTTTTAATTAATAGAAACATATTTTTCAGAATAACATCATTTATGTAAAAAATAAATACAAAACCCGCATTTCCTGAACTTATGAGATAAACCGTGGAGAGAAGAGGAAAGGGCGAAACGACCGTTCCACATGTAGCGCCCAGCATGCAAGTCAACAAACTAATACTGATCCCATCTACATAACTAAGAGACAAGATAATTTCATGTCTCAATCCCAAAAGAAAGAAAAGATGAGTTAAACTCATCAAACATAACATGTTGAAGCTTCTCTGGAGGAAAGGCGTCTCTTGCTTAGAAACATGCAGTGCTAAAAGTAACAGAACATTCTCTGAAACCACAGGAGCCGATTATCATTCATTCAGAAAAGCTTAAGATTTATAAGCAATATTTTGTTACTCAGAAAAAATGTTTTTAATCTATTTAAAATGATGTTGACAATTCAGACAACCACATTTTTTTGTATAAATGGTCTTGTATATTCAGAAAAACACACCAATTTATTTTTTTCTAGGTGAATGCAACATGCTTGCATTTTTTGATGATTATAATATTTTGAATTACTTTCTCTTGCTTTGTTAACCTGAACAGCTGCAACAAGCAAGGAAACATTACAGTCTAAAGAGGTGAGAATTCCTGAAAAGTAGCCAATCACAGGCAATTCACTTTCCCGGGTTGGTATCAGACTCAAAGTGACATAAATTGACATGAGCAACAGAAACAGGTCCAAACATGACTAGGAAAAAATCTACAGGCACATAGAAACCATAAGAGCACAGAGAAGGAGCATGAACTCATGCTAGTAATATATGGGGGGGTGCCGTGGTGAACATAAAAACCAACCTGATTGTCACTGGTGTACTTTATGTTTACAAAAGTTTCTGATGCATTCAGCCAGAACACACCGATGGTCCTGTCTGGTTTGTGAGCCACCATCAGAGGCACGGATCCATACAGGCCAAGCCGGCAGTAGAGGTCAGCGGCAAACACGTCTAGGTTGTACAGCCGATAGGGTTCTCCATCACTGTGGAAAGGAAGAGATTTAAAAAACACAACCAAATACAATGTTAAAGTGATATAAATGATTATGCACCTCGTGTCTCTGAGATGCAGCCTCTCTGGGTGTTCTGGCAGGCCGTAGACATGCTGGAACCCATGAAGGCAGAGGTCTGCGCCGAGGCTGCTGGGACCTGAACAAAACAACTCATAACAATAAAGATGAAACCCAAAACAAGCAGCTGGTTACCATGGGAAAATCAACCTGAGAAGAAGTCTACTTTATTCTACTTTAACAGTTTTTAATAATCCCTTACCAGGTAGGGATAGAAATCAGAAATAGAATAGAAGATTAATTAGTGTAATATTTTGAAGTTGGTTCAAAATAACATTTAACAGATGTAAACTTTTATCTATCTGAATATGACTAAAGCTATCACCTTAATTTTTCAATCATAATTAAAATAGAACCGTAAAGAAAAAATTAAATGGGAACATGCAACGTAATCATTTTAATGTGACATCCTATTGCACTACTCTTTGAACTTCATTATGTGTTAAGATCCACTTCCAGAGGGGATGATTGAAATAAAAGCTAGCTTTTAAAATTAATTTATGTAATTTTTTATATTAATATTTTGAGACTTAAGAAAGGAAAAGAAAATCAATTAATCAGATTTGTTAGGAATAAATTGGAAGATTTTATATTTTAAGCCATATTACCTTAGCTGGTCGATTATATTAAATATTTAGAAAATACAACAAACTGTACAACATTTAAAATAAAATAGAATTAACCTTAGAGCAGGTACAAACCGTTTGCTTTGATGTCCACAAACTTCCTAAAAGTTTCTTTCCACAGTGAACTGGTCTCGTCTTCTTGGAGCTAAAGCAGAAAAACACAAAGTGTTTTAGTGAACGACTGAAGCTTTCAATATGTGAAGGATAAAACTGCAGTCAGAGCTTCCTCCTTCTCTTACCTCACTACGTTATTATGATGTCCCATAAAAAATACAAAAAAAGACTGTTAAAATAATCACAGAGGCTACCACCTTTCCTAGAAGAAGCATTATGGATTTACCTGGGTTTATTCTGTAAGCTTTCAAACCACAGTTTGTCCTTTGAGTTGAAGGTAACCATCACTTCATCCTCACACAGAATCTCCAGTCGGAGAGGGAAGTGCCACGCTCGGATTTTGTAATGTCCGGAGGACCAGGAAAGAGTGATGGAGTCCTTAGTTTGGCTCTCCACTCTCAACCTGTCATATTAAGAGGAGAAGGGTTAAAGCAGCACAGAGTTTTATTGATTGTGAATTTACAGCAATTCCACAGCTAACCTGAACAAAAAGGATAATTTGAGCAAAAGCGTAAACTGTGGATGAAGAAACAATACAGATGCAGCTCCTACCATTCGCTCTGAGGTTCTCCAGTGAGCACATCTTGAGCTCGGTAGCGTGCCTTCATGGGTCGGGCCTCATCTATTACAATCCTTACAATGTCATTTTTGCAAGGGGTCAAAGAGAGAAGCAGCCTGGTCTGTGAAAATATATTTCAAGGAGAAAAGTGTTTATTTGCATTTTCAAACATTTTTACACATTCAATATGCTTGTATGCACACATACAAAACACTCAAGATGGTATACTTTAACTTTCTTAAAAAGTTTATATACTGGAATAATACATTCATAGATAATTTAAAATAAAGTGATTGAATGTCTCTGCATTATTCAATTAATGTTGGAATCTGGAGGTCTGTTCACTTTCTCCACCAGAGGGCGTACGAGATCTCCTGGAGCCGGAGCTGATTGCACCACCTGTCTCTCATCTGCTCATCAGGAGATCCGTATTTAAGGAGGCAGAGGACTTCTCTCCAGCGCCAGAGTGTTTGCCAGTAACGGTTAGCAAGCCTGAGCCAACCAGCCTGTCTGAACCTCTGACTCCTTGAGAAGTCTGAACCTGATCTGTTTTCTCCTCTCTGCTTCCTGGACTGAACCTGCCTGAAACCTGAAAATCCTGAAGAGTTTTTCTGCCGGTGATCTGCCTGTCCTTTCTCAGAAGAAACTGGAAGGAAACTCTAATCTGTTATCTGCCTGCACTCAATTAAGCTCTGCCTCCGCCTAGCCCTCAGCCAGCCGACAGCCTCTGGACCCTCAAGGTTCCCCCCCTCAGCAGCTCTGCTCTACTCCAGAACAGGTACAGCCCTGCACACTCTCAATCCTGCAAAATACCTGGACCTCCACTAACTCCTCTGTCCTCCTCTGCAGTGAACCCACTTGTGACCATTCCAGTCCCTTCCTGGATCTGATAAATCTGTGTACCTTTTCAGAACCCTCTCATGACCAGACGAGTTCCCCACTTGAACCAGATCATAAACTTGTACATTTATCTTTAATAAACATTTGAACTTTTCTTCTGCCTCTGAGTGTTCTGCATGTGGGTTAGACACGTTAAACCAAACTTTCATGATCTGGCCTGTTTGCTCTCCCCTAATTAGTAATTCCTCTCACCTGCCCTCTTCCTTCCCTGCCTCAATTATAATTTATTCCCCTCACCTGTTTCCTCTGGTTTATATTCAGTTCAGCCTGAGCATTCAGGGCCAGATCATTACTTGTCTTTCTGTTAGTCTGTCTGTTTAGTTTTTTGTCATGGTTCATGTCCTGGATCCTAGCTGCCAGTGGAAAGAGGGTTTTTGTGTTTGTCTGGTCTCCTGATTGTCCACTGTTCCTCCCCCGCGGAGTCCTCTGGGTTTTTGGCTCATTATGGAGGGAGGTTCAGTTTTTATCAAAGTAAGCCTGGCTCCAGGGAGGAGACCAGTTTAAAGTCCTGCTTCAAGTTCTGGTTCCACGTCCTGTCTCGGCTACCCTCTTCCACTGTGCCTGCCTGTCTGCACCTGATCCTGTCTGCTCCTGTGCGTGACCACCTGGTCATGCTTCTGGTCCCAGTCAGACTCTGAACCCTCCTGAAAGCCTGTGGATGCCTGAAAGTCTGGATCCTGCCACCTGTTTCTGTTCCTGTCTGATCTGGATTCTGCCTGTTCGGTCTGTTCCTGTCAGTTCTGGATCCCTGACCAGGATCGACTTCCAGCCTCACCTCTGGGACTGCAGCACTGGGGACATTCGTGGTCTTGACTGTTAAACCAGGTAAGTGACCAACACAGTCAATCTTATATCAGTTTATCATGGTCACTTACCTGTGTTTCTCTCCTAGAGTGTCTGAGATTGGGCAATGCCCCGCCCCCCCCGCCTGCAGTGTCCGCGAGCCACAGCTCCGCTTTTGTTTTGTTTTATTTATTTAATGTTTTGAACTTTCCTACTGACTGTCTCTCCTTGAATACTGGGTCCATCTGTCCGCCGTTCATGACACAAACATGACAATTAATCTTAAATGTATTCCCTTAACATGACGCTTAGAGAGTACTTAGTACAATCTATTCACTTTATTCACTATATGCAATCTATCTAACGTCTTTTTTATTTTATTTTATATACGTAAATGTTTTAAGTTGAGTTTTGTATTAATTACTGCTGTGTGTACGTTATCCTTTCAGCAGATGGCATGTTTTGAAGTTTGTGTACCATTGCTCCAGGTAACAATTCATTTGCCAAATTAGTTGACGATTATTTCAATAATTAATTACAGGGACAGGTTTTTGAGAATGATAGCCCAAATAGACACAAAGTGCTGAATATTGAGCGGGGGAAAAAAGTAATTTGATTTGTCTTAAATTAAGGCGATATCTGAGTCAAAAGTTATGAAGCATTATTTTAAGATATCTGACTCACACAAATTCAGATAAGGGTCAAAACCTAAATCTCTTGAGGTATTCTGTCACACAACAAACCTTTTTCAAGACAAAAATTATCAGGAAGTACAAAGGAGAATTAGGACCACTGTAGATGAAAGAAAAAAAAAAGGAGTAAATTTCGACCAATAAACTCAGAAATCTGGATAAATAATTGAATGTGTTTTCTTTTTCTTTGAGACCTTAAGCCTTTATATGCATTAAATACTGGTGGCTTGTGCAGAATGTGAGATTAGTTACCAGGATATAGAAAATATGGATAAGGAGAATCAATGATCGGAACAATAAACCTCTCTCTGTTGACCACATATTTATTTGTGAAGCACCAGCACCCCATAGTGGCTAAACTCTGCAACCGATGCTAAAAAGTATTATCTCTGTCACTGCAAACCTCACTGTGAAGGAGCCAAACCCTCAAGATCTCCCTCAAGCACCTCCTAAACACCTTTCCAAGTTGACCAAAGCAATTTAAAACAGCATAATCCCAGTACCAATGTCCTCTGTTTTCATCATGATCAAATCATCCATAATGAATGTAAGAACTCATTAATTTTACTTGTGGGCTGAAAAGACATATCATCGGCTGATGAACCTCGATGTCACTGGCCCAGCAAAATTGCAGAGGCTTGGCCAAGGTTAAGGACAAAGTTTTGTTGTCCAAAAAGCTCTCAGAGACAGTCTACAATAAGCTCAAAGGATTAAAAGAGTCTAAGGACATTTCCGGATTTTCTTAATGGATGTTTTCAAGAAACGCCACCTAGAGAAACTAGGCCTTTTGTCACAGCCACATCTAGTCCGTGATTGTTTTCATCGCGAATACACTCAAAAGTTCAGCTTTTTCAACCCGTACAAATCTCCCTTTGGGCACCTCACAGGTGGAGCAAACCTCTAACCCCACTATATCCTTTACCTCACAGCAGTCCGGAGCTGCCCTCTTCATAAGGATAACGTGAATCATTGGCTCCAGGCGCAAAATTTGCTTTCAGTGTGAATTACTTTAAAGGTGTCTAGACTTCAGAAGAACCCATTTACTGAGAAAACTAATGTATGCATTATTAGACTTACAAAGTGACAACACATCTGTCAGGGAAAAAGGAAGAAAACAGCCATAAGCAGATAGCCAACCTGCTTGGTGTACACTACAACTAACAGTTGTAGAGAAGCAGGTTTTAAGAGGTCATAACTCATACCTTAACATTACCTTTGCCCCCTCTTGAACTAAATACTTTATACCAGTTAATTATAACATTATAACCACCAGTGTTACAGCAAAAACAATGGCCCCATTTGACAGAGATTGCTGATAAGGTAACACATCACACCACAATACATCACACATCACACTTCAGAGGAGTGATGTGGGGCTTTTTATCAGATTTAACTGTCCCAGAACTTTAGCCCCAAGATAAGTTGTACTATCAGAAGACCATGAGTATTGTTGGAGCCTCAAAACATCAGACAATGTAACAAAATCAATTTTGAGTCAGTCACAGTAAATTAATTATCTCCTGTGTCTCTTTTATTTATCATTCAGCCTGTAAAGGTGTGTGTGATGAACATTAATGAACTACTACCAAGAGGTGAATGGACGCTAGCTAGGGTCTTAAAGAGTGTTTTTTGGCAATGATGGACTAGTGAGATGTGGCAGTGGTGCAATCAATGTACGGAGGCCTTAGTCCTTAATGAGGCTGTGATGGATATGACTCCCAGCCCACCGTTGTTGCATGTATTTCCCCCTTACTCCTATCCTAATCGATTCTGCACACTTTAAAAATTTATTTATTTTTTTTTATTTACAGCCTGAAAAAAAAGACTGAACTTCTGAGAAGACTAAAAAATCTCCTTTGGAGCTATAAAAGGCTGTATGGTAAAGGTTGACCCTCTTGCAAGCATTCTACTGTAGCACAACCAGTCCCAAAGCTAAGTCTAAAATTGAAATTTCCAGGTGCTGATAACTAGAAAGAGGTATTTCTTGTTGACCAGAATTTGTTCTTGACATACATTTTTTCTTGCAGGGTCCCCCTTCGCTTAACAAGAATGTTTTCATGTCTCCCCCCCACCATCACCACCACCCCAAACATTTTCAGCATTTCAGCAAAGTAAAATGCTGTAGATTACATCTTGCAATAAAATTAACTCCCAAAACTTTCTTTAAAACATAAACCTACCACTTTTAACATGCTATAAGTGTACACCAGTGTATAATCTTTAAACAGTGACCTTTCAGCTCATATTATTGCAAATGTATCATTATTTACGTATACATAAATATATTTCTCACTGTATTACGGTACTACAGCATGCCCATATGTGGAAACTGTACCTGCATGTAAATTCCGAAGTCCTCTACTACTATTGCATGTGATTTGCTGTATAACCTGAGCAAATTGGTGCATATCATTGGATTCTGTACAATAAGCAATCTTGTATATATATATATATATATATATATGTATATGTGTATGTATATATATATATATATCTATATATATATATATATATAGATATATATATATAGGTTATACTTTAACAAGTCAGATGGAGCTCCTGAACTAATGTTTCGCTGAGCAACACTTCATTGAAATCAAGTGTTTTCTGTAAGGTTTGAGAAATATTGAGTCAGGCTTCTGCAGCTGTTGACAGGTGTTGTAAGAGATATATTTTTTTTGGTTATTGTAATTTTTTATAAATTTTAAATAACTGCTTTTTTTTCTAGCTAATTGTAATTTAGTTAATTACTATGTATAAATAGTTCTTTATCATTTCCTTTCTATTTTAGGAACTGATAACCTTTCAAAACGTCAGTCATGTTATCGTAAATATGCAATAAACCCTTTATATACCAGGTCAGTAGTTTTTTTTAAACCATTGATAAAAGCAGCTTCTGCTTTCAGTTAGGAAGGGCTAAAGGACTTTATGTAGTATAATAACCAGTCAGAATGATAAATTATAAATTCAACGCTGCGACAAAACCATTGATGGAACCAGTTCCAAGTTATCTCAAACTGATCTGGGCACCATGGATGAAAAAGTTAAAATTATCTTTTAAATATCGTTTTTTTTTTTTTTTTTTTTTTTTTTTTTTTTTTTTTTTTTTTTTACATCAAAGAATCTTAACTTCAAGCATGTTTCCTAGTAATTCCCAACAATAATGAGATTCTGGCTTGAGTTTCAAAAAGCTTTATCCAAAATCCTACATGTTACCACCATACTATTACATTTTTCTTCTATCTTCTTGGGAAACCTGAATAATCTCAATAGCTCCCAAAATAAAGAGCTTTTAACAATTTTACCAACAGCAGCAGCCAGGAAGGGGATCACAAAGCTTAGTAAACTGAGCCCTAAAGCAAAGCTTACAAACTCCTTATCTAACTTATGAAAAATATGTGATCTTAAAATGACTGAAACCTAAAGCCAAATGTAATTAAAAAAATAAAAATAAAAAATTAAGTAAATTAAGTAAACTGTAAAGGCGAAATAATTGGTCCAAGGGATGAATCGGTTACATTCTCTTATATCATAAGAACTTGATTTAGTATTACACTGTAAAAACATGATTAAAAAAAGTAAGAATATCCTAAAATAAGTGAATTTACTCTAAATGTAGATGTTATTGTTATTATCTGCAAAAGGAATAGTTTTTTGTTTTTTTACTTTAGTCACCACATTGGCAAATTATATAATTTACATACTCAAATATAAGGAAAATACACTTATTTCAAGAAAACATGTCCTATATTTACATTTTTGAGTTGTAGGCTTTCAGTACAGGGATCATAACACATTTGCAGTTAACTGTGAAAAATTCCCGTTTATCAGTAACAAAAAACAAAAAAAGATCGTGGCTGATTGCAGGTTGAAAACAGAGCGGGAATCTGCCGTCCTGTAAATGAGATCAGCCAAACATTCAGCAGATTTAATACACTTTGACTTCTCAAACGCATGAGGACTGGGGCTTCTTTAAATCAACTTTATATCTTTGTTTAAAACACACCTCTCTTAAAACAAGCAAAAACACCCATATAAATTATATTTAATGTGAATTAGAGAACTCCTGTTGATTTGCAGTAAACCAACCTTAGTGTTTTCTTCCAACAGTTCAAAGTGAGCGCCCTTCTCACTGATCACCAGGGAATCCAAAAGAAGTCTGTGTTTCAGGTTGGGACCCTGCGTCTGTCGCCTCAAGAGTGAATAACAAATCATCAATTAATTAATTAACAATTATTAACACATGTATCTATGTGATATCAGTTAAAAATCATGATAAGCTATCTAAATAGACAGATCACATTAAATAAACACTAAATGTAATCATTTACACTTCCCAAATAATAACAATAATAATAATAATTTGGTTTAACATACCTGTAAAAAGCAACATTCTCACTTTTTTTGAACTTTTCCTTCCCCTCATCCCCAGGGATAACACTGACACCCAGGTGAAAAAGAAATAATGAATATACAGTTAATAAAAATCTTACCAATAAATTAGGGAAATTTAAACCTTGAAATAATTACTTATGTATTATCTAAAATATAATTCACTGATTTAAACTTTCAAACCAAAGGAAAATATTAAAAAGTTTAATCTGGAACTTTTCTCCTTCGCTCGCATACAGGATATACGAATGTCAAACTTGTCGCTGCAGGGCAGATATAGCCTAAAAACAAAATGCTCATTAATACCTAACGATAGGTTCGCTCTTTCCCGCCATTTTTAAAACAAACTCGGGCAGAAACCGCAGCGGTTCACAATCCTCCTGGCTTCTTTAGTGGAAAAACGTTGACTGATTTTCCTGAACCTGACTTCAACGGTTTTGTTTGACAGCTGCTGTGTGTGAGCAGCAGGAGGAAGTGCGTCAATTCCGCAATAAACGATTGGAAGTACGGTGAGGATTTTCAAAATAAAACACCCCCCGTGTCAATGGATCGTGTCCGATCGTGTCCGCCATATTGCGAGTGGCAGACCTCTTATCCTTTTAAAGACATTTTATTGGCGGTTGGGAAATAGCGAAATATAGTGCATTACTGTCAGTGTGGATAGAAATTACTACTTATTTCTTACTAATACAAACCAAATCAACAAAATAAAAGAAAACAAAATCAACACTACAAAAAGACTCCAAACTATCTCAATTACAGTAATTGTTCTAAGAAAGTGAAAAATAATTCCATAAAACTAATGTTTTGAGTTCATTCTAATAATGTCTATTAAATCAAAAATATGTTATTTTCATTCTAATTTTCAGTACCATCCCCTCTTCATACTTCTTATAATGTATTATGAAATTAATAATTAAATTCAATTCAGTTTATTTATATAGCGCAATGTCGCAACACACGTCATCTCAAGGCACTTTACAGTTCAGCAGATCATACAGTCAAATTGATTAAAAGTTTTCTATCTAAGGAAAACCAGTTGATTGCATTGACCCATTGACTGGGATGCAATCCTTCACACTAAGCATGCTTGTAGCGACAGTGGAGAGGAAAAACTCCCTTTTCACAGGAGGAAACCTCCAGCAGAACCCGGCTCAGTGTGAGTGGCCATCTGCAGAGGCTAGCTGGGGTTCAAGGAGACAGAAGCACAGATACAAAAAGCAACTGTATAAGGCGGCCCCGTCCAGGAAACACACAGCCAGGCAGACAAGCTCAGAGGATGAAGAGAGCACATCCAGCCAGTCACAGTCAGAGAAACAGGACTACACTGGAAAAACACACCTTTAAATAAAATCCAGTTTAATCCTGAGTGTCCAAATCTGAGTCCTGATGTAATCGCCCTTCTCTTCTGTTCCTTCCTGCCCTTCTCAGTTCCCTCACTATCCTTTGAATTTTGTAAAACCACCATATGTATGGGTTGCTGTTTATAAAGTTAAGCAGTCAAAAATTAAGAGCAATATTTATGGTTAATTAGTAAGAGAAAAATAAATGGATTATTTTTTTCATGTATTTTTTTTCACTGGCATTTAATGTGATTAACATCTTGAAATGTACTGTATAAATAAAGTTAATTAAGGCCTAAGTAATAATGTATTACAAAATGTGTTGTGCGGATTTAGGAATATGTTTATGATAGTACAAACATTTGTCTTTGAATAGCTCTCACTTGTGAAACATTCTGAATATTTTGAAGTTACCCAACTTATTTAAAAAAAATCTGCTTTAAAAATAGAAATCCCGACTGAATAGAGCAGGAATGTGTAAGAAATAAGCAATTAAATTAACATCCACAAATTGAGCTAGAATTCATACAATAAAATTAAAGTTTTATTGATTGCCATCATGCAAAAGTACCTTTTTCATTCTTTTGTTCTTTAAACATATTTTTTCCCTGATCTCTGTCTCCCTCTGGTGACGATTGTGTGAGTTGCAGTGCCGGACCTGGAGGCGGATACCAGTCCACCTGACCCTGTGGTGGATTCCTAAATGAAGATGCTGGATGCCCAGTCTCGTCGCTTGTATTTGCTACTTTTAGCGTTCGGGTTTCACCTCGGAGGAGCGGCAGAGGTGTCAGTATGGAGCGTAAATATAAACTCGGTCAGTGTTTTTCCTTTTATACAGAGAATAGCCCATACTGTTGCTAAGCAGCTGGCAGCTAAGGCAGCTAACAGCGACTAGCAAAGCTTCTTCTTCCTTCATGCTCCATCTGTTAGGAAGGCTAATGATAAATTACTGCTTTATTTTGCTCTTCATTCGCTTTATACCGCGACTTTTGTATCTATAATAAACTAAAAACAGGTTGTCATTCCTTAAAATATGATATTGCGCTTTTAATGCTGATCTTGAGCCAAAAATAATGTTAAAGAGCGAAATAAAATCTAGTTATTTCGTAACTAAAATACTTTTTTTTTTTTTATCTGGACGGAGAATTAAAATATCTGAGTAAAAAGTCAGTAAATATAGTATTGACTGAATGTTTCACATCTGTATTATTTTCTTTTATCTCTATTTGCCTCAGTGTCTTATCATCTGATAAGAGTGGACATATGGAATCAATATATTTTAATAATTTGTTGTATTTATATCAAAATACATCCAAATTGATTGTAGTATTTGCTCATAAATTTCTCAAATAATAGCTGGAGCCCTAAAAATATAAGAATTAAAACTTTTTCTCCCCATCTACTCATCTCAATTGATTAGTTGTTGTTTTTTTAGTTTATTTTTCATTTTATTTGCAGGTTGGCCTTAAAGGAAACCTTTTTCATGCTATTATATTGAGGGATGTCCTGAAACAAATGTTTAATTTCCTTTATGATTCAGCTTTCCTCTTTCAACCAAGGTTAATCTAGAGTTGATTGATACTATCGATCAACTACTGATTATTTTTCAAGAGGATCTTTCATAGCAGGAAGTACAGATAAAAATAGTAAACATAATAAATTATTAATTTATTGTGCCACCTGTTATTATTATTATTGGTATTATTTGATTTCCTTTTAGAGTTAATAAAGACTTTTCTAATTGATTTGAACAGCTGTTAAAACTGACAGGAAGAAAAACAAAAACATATATTGTTGCACATTATTTATTTTCTTTAAAAGATATAACAAAACATATCCAAACAAGAACCTAGTAGTTTAATGAATACAAAATATGATTAATACTGGTAATATTGGATAAAAAAAAACAGGAAGGTTACTCTAAAGGGAGAAGGGGTATGAAAAATAAGTTTTATTTCTTCATACCCCTTTTCAGACAGTTTACATGAATCAATGTCACTTCTCTGGCTGTATATACCGACAGGTTTATTTGATGGAAAGTTTTGTTACTATTTATGTTCAGGTGAATTTAGTTAGTTTAGAAATTGGTGTTTGGTTGATGTTAACCAGTCTCTTTTGTGTGTATTTGGTTGATACACCAAATTCTCATTAATTAATTAATTCATTCATTCATTCAAAGCAGGATGCACTTATTCCATCCAAAGATCAGAAATGCAACTATCATTAAAATTCAGGGTATGCCATTCTGATACGCTGTCAAACTATTTGCCGTTTGGTTTCCAAGAAGCTGACGCTAACTGTAATGTATCGCTCTGTTTTTAAGCGTAATCCTACAATCTAGTGCTGCTAGTGTGGCTTTTAAACCAGTTGTTCTGTTTGCTCTCAGAGAAATGTTCAAACTTAAAGCCCGTCTACTAATGCGGCACCCTCTAGCCAATGGTGGTGACACTACAACACTGAAAGAAATTCCTTATCAATTAATTGGATACAATACATTTTAATGTAATAAACTAATAATCAACACTTAATGGTAAGTCGATTGTTTCTTTACATTCTTGGTATTGACGGATAACCAATACCTGATCAGCAGGAATTATACATTCTCTCCTTCTTGTTTTTTAATGTGGAATGTTAGAAAAAGCTTAATAAAGTAATTTTACTGAACCAGAGAAAAATGGTCCTAAACATTTTTTTACAAGAACAGCCTACCTGTTTTATTATTAACCAATTGGTGACATAAATTATAAAGATGTGCTTCTAACCTGCTGCTTTTATCGGAGATTTTAAATGCCGGTTGAAATATTTTGATGCACATTTATGTCTGATATCAAACAGATTTTCAATATCTGACCATGATTGTTTAATGAATTTGTTCTCTAGTGGCTTTCAGATTAAATCAAGACGCTTCTTTGGCTTTTTATATTTGAATTTCTGTGGTTTACTCTTTTTGTTTCTTGCTCCATTTGGTTTTAAACTTAATAGTTTTGATGAAATACAGAGTTTGCCAAAATTATTGGATGCCAAGAGGAATAGGACAGGACGAATGCCTGAAATTGAATGCAAACTTTGGAGTTTATTGAAGCTGAAACCAAAGCTGCTGAAGCCTGCAAGTTGATGGGTGCGAGTTTAATCTATGCCAGCAGATGGCGCCAGAGCAACACTGGAGCAAAGTGTCTTTTTGGGTTAGAAAAGACTAAGTAAACACTATCAGGAAGAGCTATGGATGTATACTGCTTTACTTTTAAATTAACAAATGATTTTTGTTCATTTAAAAAAAAGACATATTAGGTGACTGAGTCCAAACAAGTTAATCTGTAGATTAATCTGCAGTAAAATTGTCAACTTTTGAAATTTGTGCTTTGAAAGTAAAAAAAAAACTTATTACAGTGAACTAGTCTGTATTTTTTAATACAAATTGTTATAACATAAAACATTACAGGGCAGGGTATTTTACCATAAAATAATGTTTAAAAAAAGTTACAGTTATGCTAAAAATCAGGCTCATACCCTAATTTTTTAATTGAAAATGACCAAAAGTAGTCACACATGTGTAAAGCTTCCGCTGATCCACCTGAATTAAAAAGTGGGATGTAATTATATGTCTCATATTTTGTTCTCTTTGAAGTTGTTGCACTAAAATAGATCCTTCCTGCATTTAAGTCATACTCAGCCTCATCCACTGTGCGCCCCTGTTAACTGTCTTTGAGTTAAATTAGATAGCGTAAGATACATTTTTGTTTTAGTTAAGGTTAAATTATGTTTGCATATTAGAATTTTTAAAAATAAAGTTTACCTATAATGATGCTGGGTATGTGACACGTTTCCTACTCTCAGTATCAGTAACGTTTACCATGTTGTGTTTTCAGACAAAGTATGCCGTGTTTCGGAAGACGCTGTACGCCAACACCACCATCTTTATGAGGTGTAAGTAGCGTTGGGTTTTTCTCTGGGCTGAATTGGACTCTTTGGATCCTGTTTGCTTTTGTTTTGCCTCCTGATAATATATTGTGTGAAAGTTGTTTTAATCTGGGATGGTTTTCCTCTTCTCTGCAGTTCTAAATGACACAGGCTCATGTGACCGAAATCTGGCATTTAACATCAGCTGGTACCTGCGCTCGTCCGTTTGCTATAACGAGGTCTTTAACACACCGGTGAGTGAGGCTACCGTCTTAAATCTGGAACTTCGCCTGTTTATTGAATCATATTTTGATGCTTTTTACTCTTGTTTTTCTCTTTGTTTTCCTTTAAAAGGACAACAAAGCGATGAACATGTTCGGCATGGACCACATGCTGAAGGATGGCTGGAGTGGCTTCTACAGCCAGGGCTACATGTACTTTGAGAACTGCTCCTCCCTCTTTGTCCCCAAGGTAAAAACCTAATGCATGTAACCCTTGAAGTAAAAAAAAAGAAAGATTTTTTTATTTTATTTTTCTTAATAATTGTTGCCTCTTTCTTACAGGTTTATTTCCCAGAATTCAACCCGTATCAGCCCCTCTCCAGTCCAAAGGTGGGGGATTGAATTAATCCACCATATCGCCTTTAAAAGCTCCTATATTCTTTAACGGCTCCTTAAACTTTGATTTTCAGAGTGACCCATCAAATCAGACCCTTACTTGGCCCGACAAGCCGGTGAGAAACGATTTTAATCCATTAAAGCAGCATTTCCCAATCTTTACTCCTTTGATCTAAAGAAACTTCTCTCCCCTCCCTACCAACCATTTTAACAGTTAAATGAAAAAACATGAACCGCAGTAAACCCAGACATGAGTACTAACTGTAGCTACATGAACCAGCATACATTTTCTTTAACAAAATACACTTTTAGGAGTAGTTTTACTTTATAATACTTTTAAATTTTGCTTAATGATTATATTCTTGTGAGAGCATCGCCACTTTTAAGTAAAATTTCTGGTTTCTCTACACAACTTAAATAACTTAAACAATTTGGAGATTCAGTGAAAATACAGAAAATACAGAAACCAGTAGATGTTTTAGTAGGAAATACTTGGTAGGTAAATAATGCACTTACATATGTGCATTATTTATGGTAGAGATTGGTTTTATAAGTGACTATGGAGTGGATTCTGTTCCAGTATTGTTGCAAATATGTTTTTTCTAAAATGTAACTTTTTATATTTTATTGTTTCAGCTTTTATTTTTTTTAACATTAAATTCTGTTTGACTTTTTTTTTTTTTCATATTGTATATTGAAGAAAATTTTTCTTTCAAAATTCTGTTTTTCACTTCAGTTTTATAAATTGCATTATTTTTCAAGTTGCATTTTACAGATCACATTCTCCTTACTTCCAACCCAATACAAAATGCTCACTCATGACCTAAACTGTTCTTGCTAACGTCCATGGAGACCAAAAGCATCTTTGATCTTCGCTCCAGAGGAAGCTCCGCCCCCGATGTGAAGAGAATGTGATCTGTAAAACTCAATTTGCAAAGAAAGATTGGTAAAACTCAGTAAAATAAAAGGAGTATGAAGAAGAAAAACTAATTGAAAATATAAAATCTGTAAAACAGTTTTTGAAAAAGAAAAAAATCGAAAAAATATTGAATAAAAAAAAAAAAAAAACTTGAAAAAACAGCCTCAAAACATTTAAACAATAATAGAACAAATTTCACTCCATAAACACTTTCTCCTGCCTGAAATGGTTATTTTGCATTTATGTTATTTATTTTAGATAATTATTTTACAAGTTAACTGCAGGTTAACTTGTTTTAAAGGGACTCGGTCACCTAATATGCCTTTAAAAAATTATGTTTAAAAAATAGAATTTATGCTAACTGTCACACCATAATTTTAAACATTAAATTGGCTAACAAAGACTAAGTACATGAGAAGCAATTATACCAAATATGTTTTTATTTTTATGTCATTTCTTGGATGACCTCTTTCTAATTTAGTGTGGAAAAATGTTAAAGTTGCTCTTCTGTTACTTGGGCTAAATTGTTGGGTTTTCTAAATAAACCATATTTTAATAAAATAAACTATAATCTCCTTTAAATAAAAAAACAACTACCACCTTTGAGTTGTAATTATTTTACATTTAACAGTTTAATCTGCCAAATAACATGATTCAACATGTCCCTAAAAATTTTTTCAATTAACTCTCAAAATTAGTCATTTTATTCTGTGCATTTCTTCCTCAGCCACCCTGTAGTAACACAGAGCCCTCCTAGGAGATGCCTCCCTCATTTTAACAACCACTGCAGTAAAGCAAACAACAGGAATCATAAACATATATATATTTCCATTTTCAGGACTTTTATGTTTGTGACCAAACGCCCCTCTGTGTCCAGGTACGGAGGCTAATAACATGTTTTTTTTCCTTAAGGATATCAGTGCCGTGGCTAAAGCGTGGGAAAACGGTCCCTACCTGTTCATAGTCAAGGTGTTGTTCCGGGGAGTTGAGGACGAAGACGTCAGTCCTGAGCAGCTCAGCTTTTCTTTCACAAGTGAGAATCAAGCTTTCCCCTTAGACTTTTTTGTTCAGGAATCAGTTTTTAAACATCATCATAAGTGACAGAGGTCTGCTCAATTCCCCAGTGAGTGTGGAGATGAAAGGACCACATGACTATTCCTCCCCGGCAGACTGGCCCCTGATGATCGTACGTATCTGGATTGGAGATGCTGGATCCCGGCATTGATCCGGTTACGTCGGGGTTGTGTAACTGTTTCTCCCGCCTCCTCTTGCCATAGTTCTTCATGGTGATGTGCATTGTGTACGTGTTGTTCGGGGCGCTCTGGCTCTTCTGGTGCGCCTGCTACTGGAGGGATCTGCTACGGATCCAGTTCTGGATCGGCGCCGTCATCATCCTCGGCATGCTGGAGAAGGCGGTCTTCTACTCCGAATACCAGAGCATCCGTTACAAAGGAGACTATGGTTGGCTTTGTTTTGTTTTGGTTCCCCCTTTCTGGAATCGACAGCCGCCATGATGTTTCTCTGTTGCAGTTCTAGGTGCTGTGATCTTCGCTGAGCTGCTCTCCGCGCTCAAAAGATCTCTGGCTCGTATCCTGGTGCTCATAGTCAGCCTGGGTTATGGTATAGTCAAGTAAGTCAGCTATTTTTTACTGCTTTTAAACCGCTACAGAAGCTCCTCTTAATGAAAGCTGTTTGTCTCTGTATTATAGACCTCGGCTGGGTACCACGGTGCATCGTCTGGTAGCCGTTGGGCTTCTCTACCTCCTTTTCTCCTCAGTGGACGGCGTATTGAGAGTGACCGGTGTAAGCAGCTGTCCTTTTACCCCACACAGATTTAATCAGACTTTCCAATTCATGTTGAACGTATTTTAAATGTGTGACTTTACAACCACAAAGTGAGTTTTTATAAATATGAATCTGAAATCTCTATATTCAACCCCAGCGGCCCTTTGCTTTACTTACTGATGAAGAGCATCCCTCTTATCCTTAGTATAAAACTAGCACATCCATGAGGGCCTCTGAAGTTTGTCAGACATTAGTCACTGAAGACAAGTTGTTTGATAAAAACGTATATCATCCCTTCATCAAAAAGGGAGCTTAAAGGAGCTAAAGCACATAACCTTAGCATTACCCAATATATTACCTATATATTACAGATAGATAGATAGATAGATAGATAGATAGATAGATAGATAGATAGATAGATAGATAGATAGATAAAAATAAAAAAATTAAAAAACATGGGCATGTATACCATTTTGCTGCGCTAACGCACCACATATCTGTAGGGTGTATTTGCTGCATTACAGTGCAGTGCAGCAGGATGGTACTGATTGTTTTTGCTGCTTTTATGCTTTCTTTTTTTCCTCCTTTATTTTAAATTCCCAATAAACCTAAAAAAAAAACCATACAGTCTTATTATCAGCCTTAGCGTTGTAGCTAATACGACCTATATAGAGTGAACTAAGATGAGAAATCTTCTTGAAATCTGTGAATTTGATTTAAAGTAGGTAAGTAAAACAATCTGTGATGAATGATTTGCAAACTCAACTTAGTCTGAAAAAGAGAAATTTGAAAATTAAATCTGTTTAAAAAATGAGGGAAAAAAAGCTTTCAAAGTTACTCTGAAAACCTTATTTAAGAGTTGTTTGATTTAATTTCTGGATTCCCTTTTTTTCTACTTATCTCCGTATATCAGGGCTCTAAACCTGAAAGGTGCAGATCTAACATCCTTAATGGTTAGAAGTTACACAGTGCTGCTTTGACATAAAAGCTTTAACAAACCTGGCATCAGCAGTGCCACGGCTACACTTAGCGGTAAAAACATCAAATGAAATTGAATTTAATTGCTGTTTCAAAGTCAGTAATTTAAATGAGTGTTTTTAAAGATTTAGAGTTTTTATCTGCTCAGACAAATCTGCTCTCATCTTTTCAGGGTTTCTATGGAACAGTGGCCCTCGTGGCTAATCTTAGCCTCTCTCTCATCGACTCCTGTGTCATGTGGTGGATATCCTTTTAACGTTTCACCAAAATGGGCTTCAATCAGGGCTTTTTTTTTTTTATCCTGTCAGTGCTGTTTTTCTATATCTGCTATTAAGTTTCTCCTTAACCCCTGTCCACATTTTCATCAGTTTGTCACAAACCACTCGACTCCTGAAGCTCCGCAGAAATGTTGTGAAGCTGTCTTTATATCAGCACTTTACCAACACGCTCATCTTCTTCGTTGTCGGTGAGTTGAAGCAAGTCCGGTTAGATGGAATTACACTTGATCAAGGCGGTGATAGACATTTCATTCTTAATGAAATAATCCATTCTTTTTGGATTATTTGGAGTGTTGGCCTAGTAGTTAGAGCAGTTCAATTCCCACAGCCTCCACCCTGGGTCCCTAAGCAAGACTCTTAACCCCACTTTGCCCCCCAGTGGGATGGGTCTTTAACTCCAAACAGAATATTATATTTTAGTAGGATGATTATCCTGATGAGCTGAGTGTAGAGATTATTTTTTGCATCAAAGCAAATAAAGCCAAGCGGCTTCTTAGATTGCAGCTAAACAACTAGAGCATCGAGCATCTAGATCGTTTGACCCCAAAAAGCACAAGCATCCAAGCTGAGGCATTGCACGCCTTTTTGATGCTTAAAACAGCTTTTAAAACAAGAATAATTAAAAAAGTTTTTTTTCTTTAAAACATATGTTATAATTATATATATGTGTGTTTTTGAATAGTAATATATAATCAACATATTGACGTATTGATTAAAAGTTTGTCTTTCAATAAGTGCCTAGTGTTGCTAATTAGCATCCTACCTAAATGTACGCAAATGATGGATGCATTGTTTAGTTCTTTTCATAACTGAACAAAATGCTAAAAAAAAACTTTGTACATTTAGATAAGGAAATAAGATAATAAGTTAGAAGCTGGTAAAGAATGGGTCAGGTTTATTTCATCCAGTTAGTGTATTGAGCTAATATCTAAACATGCTGCATATCTATCTCTATATCACCAGAATCTGACCAGTGTTTCAATTGTCAACAGTTTCGATCATATTTATCATCTGGACCACCAAGGTGTTCAGGCTGGTCGACTGTCAGCGGGTCAGTTCACTTCCTGTCCTGAACAACATTCCTCTTATCCTCCTCCGAGGTGAAAAGTCAACTCTTCCTTCTTGTGTTCTGTTGATTCTCTGACCCAGAGCTGGCGGGACCTGTGGGTGGACGACGCCTTCTGGCGTCTCCTGTTCTCCACTATGCTGCTGGTCATCATGGTGCTGCTGAGACCTTCAGCTAACAGCCAGAGGTCAGTGTGGAGCCTGGACCTTAAAGACTCATCTTTTATTTAACCGACGGCGTTGTTTAGCCTGTGTTGTGTTTTTACTCTCAGGTTCTCTCATTCCCCTCTTATTGATGAAGATGATGAAGAAGATGAAGCAAAAGAACCAATGATTAATGAAGCTTTCGGTAAGAAGTACAGGGCAGGATTATACAGTCTATGAATGAAAAATGAATAAAGGTAACATCAAAGCGGTGTCGTCACTTGTATCAGTATTTACTAAAAACTTTCATTTATATTTTGTGATTTTATGTTATTGACCAACTCACATAAATCAGTGTCCTGCTTGAAGGTAAACCTCCACTCCAGTCCCAAGTTAAGTCCCCTTTGGGATTAATAAAGTATTTTTGGATTGAATGGTTTTCTTCTATTAACCCTTAGTGGCTTCCCTTTCCTCTGCCTTAGAGGGGAGTTTACTTATCATGCTACTGCCACCACCATACTCCACTATGGGGATAGTGTGTTCAAGGTGACGTTCAGTGTTGGTTCTCTCCCATATGTAGTTTTTAGATATAAAGGTCAAACATTTTCTCCCACATTTTTATGGTGTCCTTCATGATTGGTGGTAAACTGAACCTCAGAACTGTTTCTTTTGACTAGACGTAGACAGATACGTACGTCAGCCGGCCGATATTTTGGGTCAACATAAGTGCATCCAACAGCCATTCCTTGAAATCACCTGAAGGGCATTTGCTTGATTCATTAATACATGTTTCTATTTTTTAAACATAAAATAAAAGATTATAAGAAATATACAAGAATAATGAAAAATGTAACGGCATGGTTACTCTAAAAAATCTTTTTTTAAACATTTTTAAAGTTTTATTTCTCGATTTGAATTTTTTTTCTCCAGTTTCCATTAACAAAACATGCTCTTTGCTTGCAACAATAATGGAACAAAATTCACTCCATAAAACGAACCAGATTAAGATGCAAAGTCTGATAAAGCGTTTGGCGGACAGTGTTTCAACTCCCATGTCAACCACTTAGTATTTTGCACCATCTGCTCATAAAAATTGCACCTCTATGGTGATGAAGAAACATCCATGCATTAAAGTTTTAGCTGTTCCACTAAATTTGCACCCTAAATGTGAATTGCACCTGCTTTGAAGGTCAGATTTGCAAAAGTGAACTATTTTGCAAATTTTTTAAAGATGTTTTTGAACATTGTGCTTTTAGTAGGTTTTGGGTTCTACCAAACTCCTTCCATTCTCAGATGATTTTTTGTTACTTAAACCAGCTTTGAGCTTTCTCTCTGACCTCTTTCATAATTTAACTAATAATCTAAGATAAAGGTTTAAAACATACGGATCAACAAGTGGTTTCCTGTTATTTTTATACTGTTAAAATGAATCCCAGTCGTTCAGTGTGAGTTTTTTCTCTATTCTTCATCCAGAGGGAATGAAGATGAGGGGCTCGAAGCCAGATGCTAACGGCTCCCAGAAACTCCTGAGCAAAGAGGTAGATTCTTTCATCATCCTTAATGAATTATTCAAGGTTCCTTAAGCCGTAGATTGTTTCATATTATTGGGTTTCTGTCAGGATGAGGACCTGAAGTGGGTGGAAGAGAACATCCCTACCTCCGTTGCTGACGTGTAAGTCACTCACCACAATCATTTGGGAGATTCCTTTAGATTTCAGATTTCATTTTTTGAATCAATTTAGAGGAAATTGAGGACAACATCATACAGTTTTGATAGATCGTTATCACAGCTTGGATAAATGTATGACTTTAAGGGATAGAAGCATAAGTTGAAATATGAATGATTATGATCAGAGAATAATACATAACTGGCAACAGGCTAATTATCTGAACTTCTCTTCATTTATACAGAGCTCTCCCTGTTATGCTGGATGAGGAAGAGGTAAAGTACCCGCCCACACACGCAAATCCCATGATTTTAGTCACACATTCAACTGTTTCGAAGATCCAACTATTGACCTTTATTTGCCCTTATCTCCAAGTCACAATGCTGCTTGTGCATTAATCCGTGTGTTTATCTTTTAGGAGATTCTGAAAACTAAGATGGAAAGATCTAAAATGGAGTAGAGCAAAATCCCCAAGAAGACACTTTAAGGGGAAGAAAAGAAGTTCCACTGAGGCAGCAATGAATGGGAACTAAAAAGTTTGATCCGCCTCTTGCTTTGTGGAGGAAAACTAACACGTTTATATAGCAGAACATTCTCCTTAATATCTCATTGGTTTCACCTCCGTGTCTTCGAACCCAAAGAATTAACCCATAACCATGGCGATTGCATTGATATGTATGTCGCTGAGGATAATCTCCATGGCCTCCTCCTCACTGATGGAGTTAGTCTACTTTTAGAACATGCAGCATTATGGACGTCTCGTGTAGCGCTGAGAACAGGGGGGGTATTGTTGTTGAGAGGTGGCTCTAGTTAACAGAGTTCCAACACTTTAACATTGTGCGCCGCACTTATCTGAATAAAGTATGTGTTTAATAATTGATCACAAGAGCCTGTTTCATATTAGATTAGGAATTCACTTAGATCTGTTAAACAAAATTCGATTTTTTTATCTATGTGAAGAATGTGCTGCCCTGTTTTTTTTTCTGGTGTGAAGGTGAACCCCTTTGACCTTTTTAACTATTTGCTCACATAACAGCCAAACACTTTCACTCTATTTAGCTTGAATTTTATACAACAAACAAAAATGATGATTAACTAATCAGATTGTTTCCATTTTTATTTTACAGTAAGTGGATAATTATAGCATGTTTTTGTTTTTTTTTTAACCTAGATACAAGTCTTTTTGGGTACATCTCTACTGGCTTTTCTCTCCTAGAGAAAGTCCTGCTAAACATCCGTCAGATTTGTCAGAGAGTTGTGAACATAAACTTTAAAGTTAGGCCTGGACTTTGACTACTTCATTCCAACAGATGGATATGCACTTCAAAAACTGAAATATAAGTCTCAGTTTCTTAAAATAAGTTAATTTTCTCTTGTTTTGAGCATGCCAGTAAGACATTTTGCCAATGGAAAGAGATGATTTATGATTAAAATAAGAAAAAAGGTTTCTTAGTTCAGGTGTAAAATATGTTATTAAACTACAAACTACTTTTTCTATTGGCACATTACCTCATATACCTGCTCACATTTAGGTAAAATACGCTTATTTTAAGAACATTTTATGCATTTTTATATCAGTTTTTGTAGTGTGCCTCAATCTAAATCCTTCCCCTGGAGTTCTTAAAGTTTTATTCCTGCAGGAAGGTGAAGCTATTTTTGTCACTTCAGCTGCCTCCATCTACCCAGTTATCCCTGAGCAGTTTCCTAGTTACTGCTGGAGTAAAGCATTATTCTCCCTACACCATATTTTTAGTTTTATGGTGGCACTCTGTGTTAATTGTTGATCATACATAACTTCATCATTTTGGCCAAACAAACTTGATAATTGCTCTCATCTGACCAGAGCAGGTTTGCTCCATCCCCTCAGTGAACATACTGTCTTTTTGAACTCTGGCTTTCCTCTTTGTCCTAAAGGTTACTTTTATGGATCGTTGTGACTAATTGTCCTGCTGACCTGAGACGTGAATCAGTTACCCGTTGCCTTTTAGCTCCTCTGATTCATCCTCTCCTTGCTCACACTGTCAGTTTTGACAGGCAGCCATTTCAAATAATTTTCTTTCTGTTTTTAGGGTATGGATTGAATATTGCTCAGAGCTTGGGGTGACATTTTATAACCTAACCGTGCTTTTAACATCTCCACAGCTGACCTGACTCTTGTGTCCCTCGGTCATCATGATGCTGTTTGTTCACTGAGGCCTTCATAGAACAGAATGAGATCAGAGTGGATTCTATTTATTCTTTGATTTCTGATGACTCCTGGTGGAACTGGATTTAATTTATAGGTATAAGAGTAGAGGGAGCTAAACTCAGATGCATGCCTCACTTAGAAATGTATATGTTCAAGGCACTCTATCAAAACGGTGTAAATTTTCTCTAAGGTTATGTTTATACGTATAAGCTCACCGAGCTGTTATTTTCCTCTATTGCTACGTAAAAGGAGATATTTCTGTTCTGTTAATAAATACTGAAAATAAATAACCAGAAATAAAGAGCACACATGTGAAAAGATGCATATTTTTCTTTTATTAAAGGTTAAATTCTGCTGCTGTTTCAACCAGATTCAATATTACATCTGGTATTATTCTGTCTAATGTTGATGTGGTGTAGGGCAAAAAAGTATGATTCACGTGATTTGATAGCATGTATGCTAAAAATCTCATTGCACTAATTAGATAAATCATCCAACGCCACATCAAAACTGAATATTATAACAAATTCATTGGTTACAATTAAGTCTTTCAAGGCTTTTTTCTATCACTCAGTATTTTCTTTCTTGCTTCACTTAGTTGTCTGAATGCTCCTTTCATTAATGAAAATATATGTAGATAGATAAAAATCCTTGAGTTCTCTTTTTATATGGATCTAAATATAGTTCTGTCTTTTTTTGTAGAGAAACTTTTGATGTTCTTTAAGGATTTTAATCTGTTGTGAAGCTTTTTGCACATGTTCTGCAAATAAACTTGATATTAAATAACCATTAATGTATAGCTGTTTTGTTTTTTCAATTTACCAACAAGAGAAATCACAGAATGTCTTATCTTTGTTTTGATAAATCTCTTTCCATCCACCGTTGCCATGTTAATCCCACTGATGCTTGGCTTCTTATTTCAAACCATAATAAAAAAACATTTTGTTAAAATCCCGTTTACTTGTTTGTGGCTTTCCTCCATTCTGAAATCATTGCTCTGTTTTCCTGGTTAAAATAATCTATTTTCAAAACTTTTAGATTTTGTTATGAAATTATTTAAGCTTGAAATCCCCCCCCCCA